CTAGCATTGCTGCCACTACCATGACTATAACTACTTCCACTACTGCAGCAAATACTGGTAACATTGGATATGGAAACAACTATGCTTTTGTTACTACTATTTACTACTCTACTTTTCTCTACTACTACTACGTACTACTCTGTTGTGTGTACTTATATGAATGTATTAAGAATGTGTGAGCAAACCTTTATATCTTCTTTATAACTTGTTTAACATCATTTTCCAAAGCAAACTCCTCTAGTTATTTCCAAGGCAGTAGAGCAGGGGTGCTCAATACGTCGATCGCGATCTACCAGTCGATCGCAAAGGTAGTATTGGTAGATCGCATTAAATAAATAAAAAATTACACATTCTAAGCTAATATATACAAAAAACTCCGGGCAAAGTGGAGATTTTTGAAAACTCCGTTAATGCATTTGTGTGTAGACAGAGATAACCAGAGTTTTGCGTTCTCGCACGCCACAGTACCCCCCTAAATTCCTCTGATCACTGAAGCATGGATCATACTACCTTAAAAACTGTTCGCTGTGAGATGCTCGCAGCAGCAAACATCCTCCACATCAGAGAGCAGCAAAGTGATCGCGGGGACTCATGCTCGAAAACAACCAAACCAGGACTAAACCAGGACTAAACCAGGGCTGAGGACGGGGTCAGTGCTTGTAAACATACGTCTTTACTCTGAGTAAAGAGCCATCTTCAATGACTGTAAAAGTGCCGTTACCGGCGTCTGCATCAAAGCTCCGCCCACTTCTGTGTTTTTCCCCAACGCAGGACAGGACGTAAGAGACGCACATGTTTGGAATGTTACGAATGTGATTGATAACGCAGATGTGTGGATGCAAATTATTTTATAAACTGAGGAGGGGAAATATTTGGATTTAAAAAAAACAGGCATGGCACATGGACATGGCACCACAGTCAAATGACATCTGTGTTTTACTCAGTAATGTTTTACTGACACTTAGGTGACTGCACATGCGCAAACAACCGCGCTCAGTGCAGGAAAGCTAAACCACGACAAACTTGTCAGCGAGTTACCACCTATTTTCCGGACTATGCATCCCTGGCCGATTCAATTCAGTGAAAGTCATCAGAGTAAACTCGGGTAATGACAAAAAATGTACATAGGTAATTGTGTTGTGTTGTGCTATATTGGCTCATGCGGTTTTGCATGTACATAAACATACATTGTAGATATAAAGAATATTTTTTGAAATAAATATATGATTTGCATTTTTGTAGTAGGTAGATCATTTTGACTTGATCCTTTTATAAGTAGCTCGCATGCTGAAAAAGTGTGAGCACCCCTGCAGTAGAGGTTTGGTATTCCCTGCTGCAGCTCAGAGAAACCCTGATTGTGCAGTGTTTTTCTAATGCGTATATTTAGCAGTGAATCTGGGACTAAAATGTCAATACATGTGATCATCTACAATCTATAGCTCTACATGAAAGCAACACACTGCGCTCAAAAACACACATCAATGGCACTCACTGCAGTATGTTTCTCCTGTGTGAGATCAACAAAGTCTATCTTTTTCTTATCACACGCTCCTCACAGCAGCAGGAGAACCATTGATTTGAATGTAATTTCAAAACGTTCTACCGGTCATTATTTTTTATAACGGACCTCTCAAAACAATAATGACAGCTGCCCTTTGGCAACGCACTCTCTGCTTGTCTTTCAGATGTGTGGATAACTCCGCAAATAGTTCCGGCCACTCCAGAGCTAGCCACGCTCAATAAACGCAAATGCCAATCAATTAACGACATTAAATGTTAATCGGAGAATACTTTATACATATACATTCTTAATACAAGTGCACGGAAGTTTTCAGAATTTTCCGTTTACGTTTTCATGACAAAAACACTGATGTAATGCAAGAAAAGACGATCCCGAAAAACCCGGAAGTAGATACCGGCACATTTTAGGAACATTTGCAGAGGATGGAATTATGGATTTAGGTTAAGTTTATGTTTGGGTCACTCACCGCTGATGTTCAGGATTCTGTGTTCAGTTTTCATGCCGTTCCAGAGAGTTCTAGTTTGGAAGTTGCTAGCCTAACTGTTGCTAGCATAGCCACGGGAAAGCCTTTGGGAACTATTTTATTTTAAAATTAAATAATAAAGTCATTAAATAAACCTTTCGGCATTCCTAAAAGTGGACTGAAGTTTATGTTGTGTGTTCTGTTGGTATAAAGCCGTATAATAAGCGGGATAACGTATATTACGCAGGTCATTATCGGAAAATAAGTACCTTCAGGGCGGTACTTATTTTCCGATAATGACCTGCGTAATATACGTTATGCCTTACTTATCTTATGTATCTGCGTGTGTGTGTGTGTGTCTGTCTGTGTGTATCTGTGTGTGTCTGTGTGTGTCTGTGTATCTGTGTGTGTCCATGTCTGTGTGTGTCTATGTGTGTGTGTGTGTGTCTATGTGCGTTTGTGTCTATGTGTGTGCGTCTGTGTGTCCAGTGACTTACTTGTTGTTGTATCGACAGGAGCCACAGGGAGAAGCTTCAGGCTCATTTGTGCGACAGCCGCAGCCTCAGGGAGAACAATGTGAGAGTCTCTGGGCTCATGCCCAGGTCTACAAACCCCCTGTACCAACACACACTGCTGCAGGTACGACACACACTGCCACACACACTGCTGCAGGTACGACACACACACACTGCTACAGGTACGACACACACTGCCACACACACTGCTACAGGTACGACACACACTGCCACACACACTGCTGCAGGTACGACACACACACACTGCTGCAGGTACGACACACACACACTGCTACAGGTACGACACACACTGCCACACACACTACTGCAGGTACGACACACACTGCCACACACACTACTGCAGGTACGACACACACTGCCACACACACTACTGCAGGTACGACACACACTGCTACACATACTACTGCAGGCATGACACACACACACTGCTACAGGTACGACACACACTGCTACAGGTACGACACACAGTGCTACAGGTACGACACACACTGCTGCAGGTACGACACACACACTGCTACAGGTAAACACACACTGCTGCAGGTACGACACACACTGCTGCAGGTACGACACACACTGCTGCAGGTACGACACACACACTGCTACAGGTACGACACACACACTGCTACAGGTACGACACACACACTGCTGCAGGTACGACACACACACTGCTACAGGTACAACACACACTACTGCAGGTACGACACACACTGCTGCAGGTACGACACACACACACTGCTGCAGGTACGACACACACTGCTACAGGTACGACACACACTGCTACAGGTACGACACACACACTGCTACAGGTACGACACACACACTGCTACAGGTACGACACACACACTGCTGCAGGTACGACACACACTGCTGCAGGTACGACACACACACTGCTGCAGGTACGACACACACACTGCTACAGGTACGACACACACACTGCTGCAGGTACGACACACACACTGCTACAGGTACGACACACACACTGCTGCAGGTACGACACACACTGCTGCAGGTACGACACACACTGCTACAGGTACGACACACACTGCTACAGGTACGACACACACACTGCTACAGGTACGACACACACACTGCTGCAGGTACGACACACACACTGCTACAGGTACGACACACACACTGCTGCAGGTACGACACACACACTGCTGCAGGTACGACACACACACTGCTGCAGGTACGACACACACTGCTGCAGGTACGACACACACTGCTACAGGTACGACACACACTGCTGCAGGTACGACACACACACTGCTACAGGTACGACACACACACTGCTGCAGGTACGACACACACACTGCTGCAGGTACGACACACACACTGCTGCAGGTACGACACACACTGCTGCAGGTACGACACACACACTGCTACAGGTACGACACACACTGCTGCAGGTACGACACACACTGCTACAGGTACGACACACACACTGCTACAGGTACGACACACACTGCTGCAGGTACGACACACACACTGCTACAGGTACGACACACACACTGCTGCAGGTACGACACACACACTGCTACAGGTACGACACACACTGCTACAGGTACGACACACACACTGCTACAGGTACGACACACACACTGCTGCAGGTACGACACGCACTGCTACAGGTACGACACACACTGCTACAGGTACGACACACACACTGCTGCAGGTACGACACACACACTGCTGCAGGTACAACACACACTTTTTTGCAGTATAGTAATTTCTTCTTTCGCTGCTAATATATTACAACATGTATACAATACAATACAATACAATACAATACAATTTATTCTTGTATAGCCCTAGATCACAACAGCATCATCTCAGAGACTTAACAAAACCATTGAAATCACCAACACAGGTCAGAGAATCAACAGTTAAAACACAGTTTTAACTGTATGTTCTGTGACAGCAAACACATTCCGTGGACATGTGTGTATACTTGTGTGTCTCAGAGTAACTAGTGCAGGTGTTCTGTAGTTTTGATGCAGCTGTTTCCAGAGAATCTGCCATAACTTTACAGATGCATCGGGGCCTAAGGACAGAAAAGAACATTATCGATATTTATGGTCATCCCGCTCCCTGTGGACCAACGACTCACATGTGTCGGGCACTGTTACATTTCCTGCGTTTAGGTGAACTTTTATTATTAATCCCTGTATTTGCCAATTTGCATTTGTCAAATACGGGGTGCCACAGTGGGGCGGCTGCGGCTGTAAAGTCCCAAACTGTGGTTGTGTCCTTAGGCAAGACACTTTACCCCCATTGCCTAGAATGAGTCTGGTGTGTGTGTGAATGGTTGGTGGTGGTGGGAGGGGCCGATGGCACAGACTGGTTGCCTCGCTTCTGTCAGTGTGCCCCAGGGCAGATGTGGCTACAGTAGGATTGAAAGTCAGGAACCCCGGCTTTAGTGAGAAAAGCACAGTATTTTAAATATAGTGATAATTGTGTTATAGAGAAATGTTCACATCTGTCAAATCAAACTCTCACCTTTTTCTCTGAAATGGTTTTAGAGCTAAAGAAACTCATCACAGACTGACTCTGATTGCTTTTATGAATAACATTTATTTCAAAGGAGATTTCAATCACACTCAATTATGTCGAATGGATCTTTCCTTTGTCAGTTTCAATTCAAACTGAAATCATGGGTTCGTTTCATGAACTTCTGTTTAATTCTTCCATGAGCAGGTCGCGTTGTGCTGATATTTATACTGACATATGTGCTTTTGACGTACCGTATGTGATTAAACATGTACTGGTATATACACATATCAGCACATGTTTATGTTTACCAGTATGTTTATAGCTACATCGCTGATCCTTAAAGCTGGGGTACCTGACTTTCAAACAAAAACTAATGTAACTAATGTAATATTAGCATATTAGCTTCGGCCAAGGCAAGGCAAGTTTATTTGTATAACACAATTCGTACACAAGGCAACTCAAAGTGCTGAACAAGACAAGAAAGCATTAAAATAATCACAGTACATTCAAAAGAAAGATCCATCCATCCATGTTCTTCCCCTTAATCCATTTCTGGGTCGGGGGGGTGGCAGTCAGAGCTGCACCCAGTACACAGAGCACCAGCCCCTCACTGATCCTCCTGCAGGTGCTGAGTCCTTCAGCGGGGGCTTCAGATAAAGTGGGGTTAAGTATCTTGCCCAAGGACACAACAACAGCAGTCATCAGTGGGAGTCGTGAAGTAGGTCTTGCGGTGGGCTCGAACCCACGACCTTCAGGCTCAAAGGCCAATGCTCTACCAACTGAGCCACTGTCGCACTACAAAAAAAAGAAAGATAAAAATAGCACAGCTAAACAACTGTTTTTAACCTGGTTTTAAACATTGTCAGAGAGGAGGCCTGTCTCACATCTTCAGGAAGATTGTTCTAGATCTTCCCTTTGAAAGTCTCCTTGTCTTCCTGTGTCCTTGTTTTCAAATCAGATCGATGCACAGATGTCAGTGTTTTCTGTTTGCACCGAGCAGCGACTCTGCAGCCGCTCTTCAATAATGCAGCAGTGTCTAGAAGTGTCACCCGGCCAATCAGAGGCCTTCCCTCGAGCAATATTCCCGCCCACACACCGCTGGAATGACTTTGAGGGCGCGGACTGGAATTATGGCTGGGAGCTTTTCATATATGAACGTTCGAGACCAGGGAGGAAACACATATGGATTAGAGAGAGGGTGTGTGTGTAAGGAGCTAAGCAGGGCAGGGCCTGGTTAGTGCTGTGATGGGAGACCTCTGGGAACAGCAGGTGCCACAGTGGGGCGGCTGCAGCTGTAAAGTGCCAAACTGTGGTTGTGTCCTTAGGCAAGACACTTCCCCCACATTAGAATGAGTCTGGTGTGTGTGTGAATGGTTGGTGGTGGGAGGGGCCGATGGCACAGACTGATTGCCTCACTTCTCTCAGTTTGCCCCAGGGCAGAGTGAATATTGACATCCAGAGTCCAGAAGAGCCCTGTATAAACCAATACATTACTATAAGATAAGATGTACTTTATTAATGTCACAAAGGAGAAATGTGCATGTCACATAGGCAAGGATAGGAACACTTATTATCATTATTACAGTTGGATTAGAACTGCCACTATTCCATAAACTCCTTTTTTAGATTGCTCCAACCTCCGCTGTAACAGTTCTTTTACTTTTGTTAACTTTATCAAAGACACAATAACAAACCTTGAAATCCGCTTTTCTGTCGCTCGCTGTGTGGCGGTGGGAGAGGTGCCGTCCGGGTCTTCGGGTCAAACCTTTGGAAAAACAACCTTCTCTTGTTGTTGTGGGCGGTTCTGTTTCCGTCCGAGGTCCTTCCACAGCTTCACTCACGCTGCTCTGATAAACCCTCTTTGTTTTTGTTCTGTGTTTGTTTTCACAGAGACAGGTTTATGTTTCCACACACACATCGAAGCGTATTGAAGAGTATTTCATCATTTAAAAATAAAAATATAGTTTTAATCATTGTTAGTGGATAAATATACCGAACACTGCAAAAAGTGATCATTCATATGGAGATAAAGGCTTGAATCTAGTTTTTTTATCTCAATTTGAGCATATTCTGACTTTCTTTAAACAGGATTTAAACAGGTCAACAAAACAAGCCGTTTAGTCTTGTTTCAAGGAAGACATTTCTTGAGTTGTTTTCAGCTTGTCCCAATGACGGATCTATTTTTTAGATGAGTATAAACATACTCAATTTAAGATAAAAAAGACTGGATTCAAGCATTTATTACTTTGTATTATATCATTTTTTGCAACGTAGCTGTCATTGAAAGGTTAGGGTTAGGGTTTATTGTATTTTATTCTTAAAATAATGTATATTTCTGACACTGCACTAGTTTGTCTGTCAATAATAACAAGAATATAGAAGTAACAATTATATATTTAACATTAAACATATTGAGCTTGTGTTCATCATCTCCAAAACATAAAGAGGGCCACATACAAAGGCACAGAAGGCCGCATTTTGCCCACGGGCCATAGTTTGGACATGGCTGTTTTAAAGAGACTCCTCTGCGTCACAAATCGACCAACGAGCCCCGTTTTCCTTCTCATGGTTTAGACTAACTTCACTTTAAACATCATCTGCTGCTTTTTT